AAAAGAATATGGACGTTAATATGTATATATACACACATGCAATTTACACGTGTGAGTTTAATTTGACCCTACAAATCATGAGTAGATATCCACTAAACTAGGCATAATTTTTTACGTAACCAAAGTTGACATACATTATGCTTAATTAATTATTTTTCAGAGGGGTTAAGTAACAACTAAAATGTTCCACTCATCAAGTGTCAGATGAATACATACTACAGCAAATCGAAAAGGTACATTTTGAATAGTTATTTTACGAAGTTGTTTTTCTATCGTTCAAGAATTATTTGTTGAGATTACCATGCTGCAACATAAACTAAATTATCTTCACTTCTGGTCAATTTCACCGAGCAAATTGTTGATACAGGATGGACACATTAGCTGATCTTTTGAATTTTTGTTAACTGATCAAATTTGCTTCAGTACTCAAGTGACAGTTTGTGTGGTTGGTATGATCCGGTTTAGACCAAACCGGGATATATATTGAGTCTACCGGATCATCTCTGTTACGTAAGGACAAAGAGAATACTACTAGGCGACTTTTTTTTAAAGAAGATTAAATTCTTAACAAAAATAATGCTATGTTAGTTAGATGTATTTTATGGTGAAAATCTAGGTAGTCTATTAGTTCATGACGCCATTCTCTAAATTGTAATTATATTGTTCGTGTAATATCAAATTTATATGAAAATGACATACATATTGGTCTTAGCGAGAAAAGTGAAATTATTTGATTAAATCATTGGTCTTAAATAATGCTATGGTCGAGTAAAGCGAGCTCTTAAGAAGCTCATCACCAACCCCAAACCAATCTTCAATAATAAAATGCAAAATTGAATGGAAATTTCCAGTACAAAGTTCATATACGCCAAATTGGTAAAGCAATTTGGCTACATTATTCTGTGTATAGAATTATTGAATATAGTAATTAAATTTGTTAATATTCAAAAGTGAAATTATCAACTTTATACTTTAGATTACAATACACGTGCCGCCAGAGTTTGGAATTTGACTTCAAATTACGAGTACCAAAAGAAAGAAAAAGGGGTTTCTATGTGATTCATATCGTAAAGGAAAATTACCACAAAAACTCTTGGACTACTAAAGTCTTTTCGTTGGAATTTTAATAACGTTTTAGAGTAAGTTAAAATGTCACCAAACAAATACTAATCCGTTTGAATGGTCAGCGATTAAAATGGTCGGCTTAACTAGTAATTAAATAATGAAATATATTAACTTCTATGATATTTTCATATGAAACAAATTTCAATGAAACCTGTGAAGAACAAAACTGAATTTTTTAACTGTTATTTTGATAAATTCATTAACGACACATAAAATAGCTTTACAATACTTTAAAATCAACCACATGAGTTCATTTACATTCTCTCATATTCAATCATTCAATTTTAATTACAAATATCACTTATAGTGTAATTGTTTGTGTCGGATTTTGGATCTCTTACGTTAGATTTTCGGATAATTTTTGGTAATAACCGTAGAGTTTTGGATAGGATATACGTCCTTTGAGAGAGAGAGGAGTAAGAGAGACTCTCGTGCACACTTTTATCTCCGGAGAGGCGGTTACGAGGACTGTTAGAGAGTACGCTTGTACCTGCACAAATAACACCATCAGATAAATCTTTTGATGAGAAGGCGTTTTCTTTCCCAATATTCTCTAACATCCAAATTATGCTTGTACAGAAAATCAGATATGTTAAAAAAAAATTAAGTACGAGTTACGTTTGAGGCCATATTCAAATAAAGATCATGGTCTCCCTATAATAGTATTTCTCAAATGAGAGAAAATAGAAAATATGATGAATCCCGACGAATGAAAGGTGGGGTTGAAAAATTCTTCTTGAGATATGAGAGTTGCCCCAAGTACACCTGTAAGGATCAACTGTCTTCCACGTTTGA